AACATTATATGACAAACCTACAGCCAACATTACACTCAATGGGCAAAAAATAAAACAATTTTAGCTAATAACATGAACAAGACAAGGATGCCCACTTTCATCACACCTGTTCGTTATAATACTGGGAATGCTAGCCATAGCAATTAGATAAGAAGAAATAAAAGATATCCAAATTGGGAAAGAAGACACAAAACTGTCATTTTTCAAAGATGACAAGATACTGTACATAGAAAACCCTAAAGACTCCATCAAAAAACTATTAGACATAATTAATAAATTCAGAAATATACCAGGATACAAAATTAATGCCCAGAAATCTATCACATTATTACACACCAGTAGTGAACTTACAAAAAGTGAGATTAAAAAAGCAATCCCATTTTTCATTGCAACAAAAAATTAAGATACCTAGGAATAAACTTAACTAAGGAGGCAAACAACCTGTACTCAAAAAACTACAGGACACTGAAAAAAAAGATAGAGGAAGAAATAAACAGATGGAAGAACATGCCCTGTTCATGGATTGGTAAAATCAACATCACTAAAATGTCCATACTACTCAAAGCAATCTATAGATTCCATGCACTCCCCATAACAATACCAATGGATATTTCACAGACCTGAATGAACTCTCCAAAAATTCATCTGGGAAAAAAAAGACCCTGATTAGCTGCAGCAATCCTGACAAAGTAGAACAAAGTAGGAGGGATCTCAATACCAGATATCAAGCGGTATTACAAAGCCACTGTTCTCAAAACTGTCTGGTACTGGCACAAGATCAAACATATAGACCAATGGAATAGAATAAAGAACCCAGAAATTGACCCAAACCACTGTGCTCAATTAATATTTGACAAAGGGGGCAAGAGCATACACTGGAGTCAAGACAGTCTCTTCTATAAATGCTGTTGGGAAAATTGGACAGGAAAAACAATGAAACTAGACCTCCAACTTACACCATAAACAAAAATAAACTCAAAAATGGATAAAGGACTTAAATGTAAGATGGGAAACCATAAAAATCTTAGAGGAATCCACAAGCAGCAAAATCTCAGACATATGCTGAAGTAATATCTTCAACAATACAACTCCTAGGACAATGGAAACTAAAAAAGCAAACAAACAAATGAGACTGCATCAAAATAAAAAGCTTCTGCACAGCAAAAGAAACCATCAACAAAACAACAAGAAAGCCCACTGCATGGGGGAAAATACTTGCAAATGTTATCTCCCATAAGGGTTTAATCTCCAACATATACAGGGAACTCATACAACTTATCAAAAGGAAGATCAACAAACCAATCAAAAAATAGGCAACAGACCTCAATAGATACTTTTCAAAAGAGGACATAAAGAAGGCCAAGAAATATATGACAACATGCTCAAAGTTACCAATAGTCCAAGAGATGCAAATCAAAACGACAATGATGTACACCTCCCACCTGTCAGAATGGCTATCATCAACAAATCAACAAGTGACAAGTGCTGGTGAGGATGTGGAGAAAAAAGGAACCCTCGTGCACTGTTGGTGGGAATGCAGACTGGTGCAGCCACTGTGGAGAACAGTATGGAGTTTCCTCAAAAAACAAAAAAAAATGGAACTCCCATTTGAAACAGTGATCCCACTTCTGGGAATATATCCCAAGAAACTAGAAACACCAATCAGAAAGGATATGTTCATAGCAGCACAATTTACAATAGCTAAGAATTGGAAATAGCCTAAGTGCCCATCAAAAGATGAGTAGATTAAAAGACTGTGGTACAACCCTAGCTGGCTTGGCTCAGTGGCTAGAGTGTCAGCCTGCGGACTAAAGAGTCCCAGGTTCGATTCCGGCCAAGGGCACATACCTGAGTTGCAAGCTCACTCCCCTATAGGAGGTGTGCAGGAGGCAGCCGATCAATGATTCTCTCTCATCGTTGATGTTTATCTCTCTCTCTCCTTCTCCCTTCTTCTCTGAAATCAATAAAGAAATATATTTTAACAAAACTGTGGTACACCTACACAATGGAATACTACACCACTGTGAAAAGGAAGGAACTCCTGCCATTTACAGCAGCATGGATGGACCTGGAGAGCATTATGCTAAGCAAAAGAAATCAGTTTGAGAAAGATAAATATCACATGATCTCATTAGAGGAATATAAAGAACAACATAAACTGATGAACAAAAATAGATCTAGAGACAGAGAAGCATCAATCAGACCATCAAACCTCAGATGGAAGGCAGGGGAGGGTGGGGGTAACAGGGATAGATCAACCAAAGGACTTATATGCAAGCATATAGGCCTAACCAATGGACACAGACACCAGGGGATGAGGGCATAAGTGGGGGGGATGAAGGGGTAATATGGGGATAAGGACACATATGTAATACCTTTATCAATAAAGATAACAAATAATTAAATAAACAATCAAACAAACAAACAAATAATTAAAGGACACAACAAGGGAAAAAATAACCATATGCTCTTACTTATATCCTATATAATCAAACCTTAATATGCAAATCAACCCAATGGAGGAACACTTGGCAGAATGACTTGTCTTGTAGCAATGATGAGCCTCACTAAAGGGGGCAAATGCTCAATGCAAGAACTGCTCCCTGGTGGTCAGTGTTCTCCCACAGGTGGAGCACCACTCAGCCAGAAGCCTGGATGGTGGCTGGCGAGTGCAATGGCAATGGTGGGAGCCCCTCTTGCCTCTGCTGCAGGTGGGTGGTAAGGAGTGAGGGGTCCCACTGAGTGAGCTCCAGACTGCAACAGGGATGTCTGATGGCCAGCTTAGGCCTGATCCCTGAGAGGATCAGGCCTAAGCTGGCAGTTGGACATCTGCCAAGGAGCCCCCTGACTGAGAGATGCATATGTGGATAGATAAATTTAAAAAAAAAATGTTTTATCTTTTTATTTTTTTATTTATTATTTTATTTTTAATTTTTCTTCTTATCCACTCATTCTCTTTTTACCTCTTCTATACTGAACCATGGTCCTTCCCCTATTCATTCAATTCCTTAAACCTACTTTCTGTATATAAGCTCCGCTTCTACAGATGCTGTCCCCTCCCCTTTTCCTGCATGATTATTGCTTGCATTTTTTCATTTATTTGTTTGTTTATTTTCCCATCTTCTTTCTTCTTTTTCTTTTCTCTTACCTTTTTTCTTTTTCTCAACATCATTTTAGCTCTTTTGTATCTCCTCATTCTCTTCTCTCTGGTGGTCACTTTTATTGGGGTTATCAGTGTCATTGAATACATTCCTGTTGGTTCCCTTTCAGTTGTGTCTTGTCGATTTTTCTTTTGTGCTATACAGTCAACATGTTAGAGTGCCAGCCACATAATCAGACACCCTGAGAGGAGACAACATTCACGAATGCAACAATAACACTCAAGAACTAACTACACCAAGAAGACCCAAATATTCCAAGTAGGAGGCATGCTTAGAAAGCCCAGGAGACCTGAGAGATTACACCACTGGGTCCCACAAAATATCTATTATATATGACAAACTAAAAAAAAATCTGGATGACATAGAAGTTTCATCTACTACATGGAAACAACCACAAAGGAACAGCGAAAATTGGGAGACAAAGAAATACCCCCTAATTAAAGAAAAGGAGGAATCACCGGAAAAGGAAGTGAATGAAATTGAGGCAAGCAATTCATCAGAGAAAGAATTCAGGTCAATGGTTATATGGATGCTGAAAAAGATAGAAAACAAATTCAAAAACATGTGAAACATGTGTAAAAGTCAAGGGGAAATGAAGAACCAAGAGGAAATTGAGAATGACATAACTGTAATAAAAAATGGAAAGTATCAACAGTAGAGTAGAAGAAGCTTAGGACCACATCAGTGAGCTAGGAGACAAGGTAGAGAAAACACCCAAGCAGAGCAGCAACTCGAAAAAAACTAAAATGCAGGAGGAGAGAACAAGGGAGCTTAGGGACAACATGAAATGAAAGAACATCCACATAATAGGGATGCCAGAAGGAGATGAAACAGAGCAAAGAATAGAAAACCAGCTTAAAGAAGTAATGACAGAAAACTATCCAGATTTTGGGAAGAAAAATTCACACAAATCCAAGAAACTCACAAAGTCTCAAACAAGATGGACCCAGAAAGACCGACGCCAAGACAAATTATAATAAAACTGGCAAACATCAACTACAAAGTATGAATCTTAAAGGCTGCAAGAGAGAGACAGGAAGTTACCTACAAGGGATCTCCCATTAGACTATCAACTGTTTTCTCAACAGAAACATTTCAGGCCAGAAGGGAATGGAATGAAATATACAAAGTCATGGAAAGCAGTGGACTGAATCCAAGAATAAAATACCCAACAAGGCTGTCATTCAAAATTGAAGGTGAACTCAGGAGTTTCACAGAGAAAAAATCGCTAAGAAAGTTTATTACCACCAAACCAGCAATGCAAGAAATACTAAAAGGGACTGCTGTAAATGATGAAGTACAAAAGGAAGAAGGAACACAGGCATAAGGAATAAACATGGTAACAAACAAGTACCTATCAATAATAATCTTAAAATTAAATGGATTAAATGTTCTAATCAAAAGACATAGGGTAGCTGAATGGATAAGAAAGCATAACCCATATAACTTCTGTCTACATAAAGGACTCACACTGATTGAAAGTGATGGGATGGAAAAAAAATTCAGGCAAATGGAAATTTAAAAAAAAGAATGGGTAGAAATACTTATATCTGACAAAATAAACCTCAAAGTGAAGGCCATAACAAGAGAAAAGGAGGGCCACTACATAATATGAATGGGAGCAATTCAACAAGAGGATATAACTCTGGCAAACATATACAGGAGCACCCAAACATATAAAAAAAAAAACTACTGGAAGATATCAATGGAGAGATCGACAGCAATAAAATCATAGTCAGGAAATTAACACCCCATTGGCACCATTGGATAAATTCTCTAAATCAATAATAAGCAAAAAAAACCCCAGCAATTCAAAATCACTCACTATATCATATGGAATTAATTGATATCTTCAGAACATTTCACCAAAAACAACAGAATATACATTCTTCTGAAGTGCACAAAAGACATCTTCAAAAATATACCACATATTGGGAGACAGCAAAGCCATTTCAAACTCAAGAAGATAGAAATCATATCAAGCATCTTCTCAGACTACAATGGCCTAAATTTATGAATCAACTACAATAAAAACAATGAAAAAAAGCAAACACATGGAGGCAAAATAGCATGCTATTACTAGTAAACAATATTGTGCTACCAAAGAGATCAAAGAAGAAGTTAAAATCATCCTGGAAATGAATGACAATGATAACAAAACAATCCAAAATCTAAGGGACACAGTGAAAGCAGTACTGAGAGGGAAGTTTATAGCTATAGAGGCCTACCTCAAAAAACAAGAAAAAATGGTAATAAGATTCCTAACCCTACAACTTTGAAATAATTAGAAAGAGAGCAAAAAGAAAAGCCCAGCATAAGCAGAAGGAAGGAAATAATAAAGATCAGAGTGGAAATAAATGACATAGAAACAAAAAATAATAAAAATGATCAATAAAACTGAGATCTGATTCTTTGAAAGGATAAACAAGATTGATGAACCTCTAGCCAGGCTCACCAAGAAGCAAAGAGAGAGGACCCAAATAAACAAAATTAGAAATGAAAGAGGTAAAGTAACAACATACCCCACAGAAATACAAGGGATTGTGAAAAAATACTATGTACAACTCTACTCTAACAAACTGGACAACATAGATGAAATGGACATATTCTTAGAAAAATAAAAGCTTCCAAAACTCATACAGGAAAAAATAAAAAAAATTAAAAAAACAACTGAATAGGCAAATGACTGCCAATGAAATTGAAACAGTATTCAAAATTCTTCCAACAAACAAAAGCCCTGGTCTGGATGGCTTCACAGGGGAGTTTTAAAAAACGTACAAAGAAATAAAACCTATCCTACTCAGACTATTCCAAAAAAATCAAGAAGAAGGCACACTTCCAAGCTCTTTCAAAGAAGCCAGCATTACCATAATCCCAAAACCAGATAAAGACAATACAAAGAAAGAACATTACAGGCCAATATCCCTGATGAAAATAGATGCTAAAATCCTCAACAAAATTCTAGAAATTTCGGTCCAGCATTACATTAGAAAGATCATACACCATGACCAAGTGGGATCTTTCTGGGGATGCAAGGCGGGTACAATATCTGCAAGTCAATAATCATGATATATCACATAAACAAATTGAGAGACAAAAATCACATAATCATATCAATTGATGCAGAAAAGCATTTGATAAAATCCAAGACCCTTTCTTGATAAAAACTCTCTGCAAAGTGAGAATAGAGGGATCACAACTCAACAAAATAAAAGCCTTATATGAAAAAAGCTATAGCCAACATCATAATTAATGGATAAAAACTAAAACTATTTCCTTAAGAACAAGAACAATACAGGGATGCTCATTTTCAACACTACTGTTCATGACAGTAATGGAAGTGCTAGTCATAGCAATCAGACAAGAAAAAAAGGCATCCAAACTGGGAAAGAAGAAGTAAAACTGTTAGTATTCACAGATGATAAAATATTTTACATAGATATTCCTAAAGACTCCATAAAAAACTACTAGACCTAAAAAATGAATTTGGCAATGCAGTAGAATACAAAATTAACCCCCAGAAAACTATGGCTTTTTTATACACCAATAATGAACTCAAAGGAAGAGAAACTAAATAAACAATCCCGTTTACCATTGAAACAAAAAAAATTAAGATACCTAGGAATAAACTTAACTAAGGACATACAAGACCTGTACTTGGAAAACTTCAGGACATTGAAAAATGAGATAGAGGAAGACATAAACAAATGGAAGATTATACCATGTCCATGGATTGGTAGAATCAACATCATTAAAATATTCATACTACCCAAATCAATTTATAAATTCGATGGAATCCCCATTAAAATACAAATGGCATATTTCACAGTTCTGGAACAAATTCTCCAAAATTCCTATGGAATATAAAAGATCCTGAATAGACACAGCAATTTTGAGGAAGAAGGACAAAGTTGGAGGGATCACAATACTAGATATTAAGCTATAATACAAAGCCACTGTTCTCAAACCTGCCTGGTACTGGCACAAGAACAGACATATAGACCAATAAAACAGAACAGAGAACCAAGAAATCGACCCAAGCCATTATGCTCAATTAATATTTGACAAAGGAGGCAAAAGCATACAATGGAGTCAAGACAGTCTCTTCAATAAATGGTGTTGGGAAAATTGGTCAGACACATGCAAAAAATGAAACTAGACCACCAACTTGCACAATACACACACATACACACACACCCACTCCCCCCCCACACACACACAAACACACACAAAACCAACTCAAAATGGATAAAGGACTTAAATATAACATGGAAAACCATGAAAATCTTAGAAGAATCCACAGGCAGCAAAATATCAGACATATATCAAAGTAATATCTTTACCAATAGAGCTCCTAGGGCAGCCGTGGGCAAACTACGGCCCGCAGGCTGGATCAGGCCCGTTTGAAATGAATAAAACTAAAAAAAAAAGAGACCGTACCCTTTTATGTAATGATGTTTACTTTGAACTTATATTAGTTCACACAAACACTCCATCCATGCTTTTGTTCCGGCCCTCTGGTCCAGTTTAAGAACAGAAAATAAACAAATGGGACTACATCAAAATAAAAAGCTTCTGCACAGCAAAAGAAACCATCAACAAAACAACAAGAAAGCCCCCTGCGCATGGGAGAATATTTGCCAATGTTCAAGTGTTTAATCTCCAAAATTTATAGGGAACTCATACAACTTAACAAAAGGAAGCTAAACAACCCAATTAAAAAATGGGCAAAGGTTTTGAAAGAGGACATACAGAAGGCCTAGAGACATATGAAAACATTCTCAAAGTCACAAATCATCTGAGAGATGCAAATCAAGACAACAATGAGTTACCACCTCACAGCTATCAGAATGGCTATCATTAACAAATTAACAAAGACAAGTGCTGGCGACGATGTGGATTAAAAGGAACCCTAGTCCACTGCTGGTGGGAATGCAGACTGGTGTAGCCACTGTGGAAAACACTATGGAGTTTCCTCAAAAAGTTAAAAATGGAACACCCATTTGACCCAGTAATCCCACTTCTAGGAATATATCCCAAGAAATCAGAAACACCAATCAGAAAGCATATATGCACCCCTATGTTCATAGCAGCACATTTTACAATAGCTAAGATTTGGAAACAGCCTAAGTGCCCATCAGCAGATGAGTGGATTAAAAAACTTTGGTACATCTACACAATGGAATACTAAGCTGCTATACAAAATAAAGAACTCTTACCATTCGCAACAGCATGGATGGACCTGGAGAGTATTATGCTAAGGTAAATAAACCTGTCGAAGATAGATAAATATCACATAATCTCATTCATTTGTGGCATATAATTAACAACATAAACTGATTAACAAAAATAGATCCAGAGACAGAAGCATTGAACAGACCTTCAAACCTCAGAGGGAAGGCAGGAGAGGGTGGGGGTGGGGGATAAGAGATCAACCAAAGGACTTGTATTTATGCATATAAGCATAACTAATGTATATGGACACTTGTGTCTGGGGGCATGTCCTGGGGGGTGGGAGTGGTCAGGGAGGGTCCTATGGGGGGAAACGGAGACATATGTAATACTTTAAACAATAAAGAATAAAAACAAACAAAACAACAACAAAACACAAAAATAAAAGAGCTTTTTAGTAAAAATAAAAGGCTAATGGAGTTTATTATCACCAAACCAGCGCTGTAAAAATGTTAAAGGGACTTCCTTAAAGAGAAACAGAGAGAGAAAATAGGTATAAATAATACAATGGCAATAAATAAGTAACTAACAATAATAATCATAACCTAAAAAAAATTTAAATGCTTCCAAAAAATGACATATGGAAGCTGAATGGATAAGGAAACATGACCAATATGTATGTTATATACAAGAGACCTATCTCAGAACAAAAGATTCACACATTATAAAGTGAATGGATGAAAAAAAAAATATTCCAGGCAAATGGAAACAAACAAACAAACAAAATGCTGGGGTAGCAACACTAATATCTGCCAAAATAGTCTCCAAAACAAAGATAATATAAAAAGGCATAGAAGGTCACTACAAAATAGAAAAGAGACCAATACAACAACAGGATATAACCCTTGCAAATATATATGCATCCCATATAGGAGCACCTAATTACATTAAAAAATCTTGGAGGACTTGGAGGGAGAGGTTGACAGCAATACTGTAATAGTAGGGGACTTTAACACCCCATTGACATCACTGGATATATTTTCCAGAAAAAAATCAAGAAAACAGTGACCTTAAATGACATACTAGATCAGATCAATATAATTGGTATTTACAGAACATTTAATATCAAAGCTGTAGAATATAAACTCTTCTCAAGTGCAAATGGAACATTCTCAACGATTGTCCACATGTTAGGACACAGCATAAGTATTAAAAATTTCAAGAAAACTGAAATTATATCAAGCATCCTCTCAGATCACAATGACCTGAAACTAGAAATCAACTACAGTTTTTTAAAAAATCAAAAAAAATAGGGGAGTCCAAAATGGCAGCCAAATAGGCAGACATGTCTTGCGCCTTCTAACAAAGCAGATAGAAGGAACAACTAAATCACATACCATCCACCCAGAATTGGCGAATTAAACACAGCTGGTGAGACAATCCATGGCTGGGAAGGACAGAGGACTCCTGAAGAAAGATAGGATTGGGGATCTAGGAGAGAGATATGTGCAACCAAAGTGACTAGAGTGTCAGAAGGAACCTGTGCTGCACCAATTTCTGAGTTCCTTGGGGACACACATAACATTCGACTGAGGAAGGGGGTCCACAGGGATGATGGCAGCCAGGGAATGTAGATCTAAGTCTGCAGCCATGAGAGGCTGTGCCCAGGAAGGCAGCTTGAAGAACTGCTGGAGTGTGCATTACCCAGGGGGAATGGGGGAAAGGGGGAGAGGGAGAGAAACTCGCAGTGGCATGGTTCTTTTGCCTTTATATTTTCCCTGCTTTTGTTTACTAAACCCTGTTCATGGGACCTCTCAATTACAAATACTCACCAAAGCAACAGTGCAGGTGAAGGTGCAGTTTTGTGATGGTTGTGGAGAGGCTGTGGAGGGGAATAGAACAGGGAGAGTTGACCAGCAATCTGGCACTGGGACATTCTGAACCCTCCAACCATAAGCAGCCATTTCTCTCCTGAAGAGCTAGCCCCTCTCAGCAGCACCCGCAGGGCAACTAGTGCAGCCACACCCAGCCTAGAGCTTTGCAGAAAAAATGAGGAAACTGAATAACCCCAGGGATTCCTGGGGGACTGGGTTGAGGGGCTATTTGGTCCTGGAAACACCCCCACTTAAAGTCCAGGTAAAAAATTGATGCTTGTGTAAATAAGGCTGAAAGCAGGCAGACAACCAAAGCAGGCAGATTGGTCCCACCTGCCTGTGACCAAGGCTGAGGAGACAGACACCTAGGAACAGTGGATCACTGAGAACTTCAGCACGGTGCTGACTAACAGGAAACTGAGTAGTGGCAGACAGAACAGTAGAGAGGGGTCTTAAACCAGCCACAATGGGACATTAAAACTCAGCTGAAGCGGATGACACTACACTTTTTTGTTTCTATCTTTTACTTAAGGGAGAAAAAAAATTAAATCTTTTATTTTTTGTATTATTTTTCTTCATTCTATTTTTATATCATTATTTTATTTTATCTTATTATTTTTTTTTATTTTTTCCACCCTTTTCTTCCTCACTTCTCCCTTTTTCAGTGTTTCTCTTCTCCTGTCCCTGCTTTAGTTTTTCTCTCTCCTTTCTTTTTACCCCTTGTTAAAAATTGATCTTCTTTATCTGTGTTAATGATGTGATTATTATTGTAGTCTTTGTTGGCTTACACATATATCTAATTTCCTTTCCCGTGCTCCATGTCCATGCACCCTTCTCTTTTCTCTTTGTTAGCCAATTTTCCATGCTTTTGTTTTACCTCTCCTCTCTTGTTCTCTTTTTCTCCTAATTCTTAATTAGTTTCACTGACTAAACTGAAGCCTATATGCTCTCTCCTCAATTCTCCTTTTCCAAAAGTAGATAAATATATGGATCGATAACTACCTCCACTATACTGAACTGTGGCCATTCCCACATTCATTCAATTTTTTTAATTTTACTTTCTGGATATAAGCTCTGCCTCCACAGATTCTGACCCCTCCCCCATTTTTTGAGGAGTTTGTTGTTTGCATTTTTGATTTATTTGTTTGCTTTGGGGAGTTTTCTCCCATATATGTATATCTTTGTCCCCTACTTTTTATTTTTATTTTCTCTCTTACCTTCTTTTCTTTTCTCAATATTATTTTTGCTCTCTCTTCTCTCTCCTATTCTCTTTTCTCTGGTGACCAATTTTATTGGGGTTATCAGTGTCATGAGTACATTCATATTTTGACCCCTTTGTGTCATGTCTTCCGATTTGTATTTTGTACTATTTGGTCAACGTGGAAGAGAGTAAGCCACATAACCAGACACCCTGAGAGGAGAATCCACCCACAAATGGGACAATAACACTCAAGACCCAGCTATACCAAAAGAACACAAATATTACAAGTAGAGGGCATCCCTAGATTACCCAGCCCAGAAGACCTGAGAGACTGCACCACTGGTTCCCACAAAACATCTACTATATAAGACAAAGTCAAAAAAAATCTGGGTGAAATAGAAGTTGCATTGAATACAGTGGTTGCCAACCTTTTGGACCTCACGGACCACCAGTGGTCCACAGACCACCTGTTGGTGACCGGTTATCTAATACATAGAAACAACCACAAAGTAACAGCAAAAATGGGAAGACAAAGAAACAGCACCCAAATGAAAGGAAAGGAGGAATCATCAGTAAAGGAAGTAAATGAAATGAAGGCAAGCAATTTGTCAGAGAAAGAATTCAGAACAAAGGTCATAAGGGAGCTGAAAAGGATGGAAGACAAATTCAACAACATGTGTAAGAATCAAGAAGAAAAGAAGTACCAAGAAGAAATGCAGAATGACAAAGATGCAATAAAGAACAAAATGGAAATATCAAAAGTAGACTAAAAGAAGCTGAAGACTGCATCAGGGAGATTGAATACAAAGTAGAAGAAAACACCCAAGCAGAGCAGCAACTAGAAAAAAAAAACTTAAAAAGCAGGAGGAGAGCCTAAGGGAGCTTTGGGATAACACGAAACAACATCTGCATAGTAGGGGTGTCATAAGGAGAGGAAACAGAGAAAGGAATAGAAACCTGTTTGAAGTAATAATGACAGAAAACTTCCCTGGTACTGGGAAGAAAAACTCACACCAGGCCAAGAAGCACACAGTCCCAAAATGTTGAACCCAAAAAGACTGAAACCAAGACTCATCATAATTAAATTGGCAAAAATTGACAAAGTAAGAATTTTAAAGGCTGCCAGAGAGAAACATAAGTTATCTATAAGGGGTATCCCATTAAACTATCAACTAATTTCTCAACAGAAATTCATCAGGTTAAAGGGAAAGGAATGAGATATACAAAGTGATGCAAAGCAAGGGACTGAATCCAAGAATACTATACTGGGCAAGGCTGTTATTCAAAACTGAAGGTGAAATCAGGAGCTTGACAGACAAAAAAAAAATGGCTAAGGGAGTTTATTACCACCAGGCAGCAATGCAAGAAATGCTAAAGTGACTGCTGTAAAAAGAAGAAATAGGAAGGGTAGAAGGAACACAGGCATAAAGAATAAAAATTGTGACAAACAAGCCCCTATCAATAATAACCTTAAAGGTAAATGGATTAAATGTTCCAATCAAAAGACATAGGGTAGCTGAATGGATAAGAAAACATGGTCCATATATCTGCTGCCTATAAGAGACCCACCTCAGACAAAGGACTAACACAGACTTATAGTGAAAGAATGGAAAAAATATTTTCAGGCAAATGAAAATAAAAAAAGCATGGGTAGCAATACTTATATTGGACAAAATAGACCTCAAAGTGTAGGCCATAACAAGAGATAAGGAGAACCACTTCATAATACTAAAGGGAGCAATTGAACAAGAGGTTATAACTCTGGTAAACATATATGCAGCCAATACAGGAGCACCCAAACACATAAAAAACTTATAGAAGATATAAAGGGTGATATAGACAGCAATACAATTATAGTAGAACACTTTAATACTCAATTGAAACCACTGGATAAATCCTCTAAACAAAAAATCAGCAAAGAAACATCAATCCTAAATGACTCACTAGATCAGATAGAATTAATTGACATCTTCGGAAAATTTCACTCCAAAGCTTCAGAATATACATTCTTCTTAAGTGCACACAGGACATTTTCAAAGATAGACCACATATTGGGACACAGGCAAAGTCTCTTCAAATTCATGAAGATAGAAATGATATCAAGCTTCATCTCAGACCACTATGGCATAATATTAGAATTCAACTATAATAAAAGCAATGACAAAAAAATCAAACACATGGAGGCTAAATAGCATGCTATTAAACAACATTGGGTTACCAAAGACATCAAAGAAGAAATAAAAAGCATCCTGGCAACAAATGACAATGAAAACAAAACAACCCAAAACCTATGGAATTCAGTGAAAGCAGTCATGAGAGGGAAGTTCATAGGTCTACAGCCCTAACTCAAAAAAAATAAAATTAAATTAAAAAAAACAAGAAAAAATTGTAAGAAAATATCTAACCCTAAAACTTAAAGAATTAGAAAGAGAGCAACAATAAAAGCTCAGCTTAAGCAGAAGGAATGAAATAATAAAGATAAGAGTGGAAATAAGACATAGAGACCAAAATAACAATACAAAAGATGAACGATATCATGAGCTGGTTCTTTGAATGTATAACCAAGATTGATGTACTTCTAGCCAGGCTCACCAAGAAACAAAGAGAGAGACCCAAATACATAAAATCAGAAATGAAAGAGGTGAAGTAGCAACAGACCCCACAGAAATACAAAGGATTATAAAAAAAATACTATGAACTATTCTACTACAACAAACTGGACAATCTAGATGAAATAGAAATATTCTTAGAATAATACAAGCTTCCAAAACTCAATCAGGAAGAATCAATAAACCTGCTGAATAGGATAACTACTGATGAAATTGAAACAGTAATCAAAAATCTTCCAGCAAACAAAAGCCCTGGTACAGATGGCTGTACAGGGAAGTTTCACCAAACATTCAAAGAAGAACTAAAACCTAACCTCCTCAGACGATTCCAAAAAATTCAAGAGGAAGACACACTTCCAAGCTTTTTCTATGAAGCCAGCATTACCCTAATTCCAACATCAGATAAAGACACCACAAAGAAAGAGAACTATAGGCCAATATCACTGATGAACATAGATGCCAAAATCCTCAACAAAATTCTACCAAATCTGACCCAGCATTACATTAGAAAGATCATACACCATGACTAAGTGGGATTTATTCCAGGGATTAATATATCCCAAATCAATAAATGTGATACATCACATAAACAAATTGAGAGATAAAAATCACATAAGCATATCAATTGATGCAGAAAAAGCATTTGACCAAGTCCAATGTCCTTTCTTGATAAAAATCCCCAGAAAAGTGGGAATAGAGTGACCTTACCGCACACAATAAGAGCCTTATATGATAAACACCATACTCAATGGGCAAATACTAAAAAAATTTCCCCTAAGAAAAGGAACAAGACAGGGATGTACAGTTTTACCACTCCTGTTTGACATAGTACTGGAGGTGCTAGGCATAGTGATCAGACAAGAAGAAAAAATGAAAGGCATCCAAATTGGGAAAGAAGTAAAACTGTCATTATTTACAGATGACATGATATTGTACATAGAAAACCCTAAAGATGCCATAAAAAAACTAACTACAAGACTTAATAAATGAATTCGGCAATGTAGCAAGATACAAAATTAACACACAGAAATCTATGGCTTTTTCATACACCAATAGTGAACTTACAGAAAGAGAAATTTTTTTAAAATCCCATTTACCATTGCAACAACAAAATTAAGATACCTAGGAATAAATTTAACTAAGGAGGGAAAAGACCTGTACTTGGAAAACTACAGGACATTGAAAAAAGAGATAGAGGACGGCATAAACAAACGGAAGAATATACCATGTTCATGGATTGGTAGAATCAACAACAGTGTCCATACTACCCAAAGCAATCTATAGATTCAACCCCCTGTGGGAATGCACTGACCACCAGGGGGCAGCTCCTGCATTGAGCGTCTGCCCCCTGGTGGTCAGTGCATGTCATAGTGACCGGTTGTTCCACTGTCACGCCAAAACCGGCTCTCCAACATCCCCCAAAGAGTTCCGGATTGCGAGAGGGTGCAGGCCAGGCCAAGAGGCCCCACCGGTGCACGATCAGGGCCGGGAGGGATTCAGGAGATTGTTCAGCTGGGAAGGGACCATGAGAAGGCTGCAGGGTGTGTCCAGCCCATCTCGCTCAGTCCTGATCGACCAGACCCCAGCAGCAAGCTAACCTACTGGTCAGAGAGTCTGCCCCCTGGTGGTCAGTGCATGTCATAGTAAGCAGTTGAGCGGCCTTAGCATATCAACTAACTACAAGACTTAATAAATGAATTCGGCAATGTAGCAAGATACAAAATTAACACACAGAAATCTATGGCTTTTTTATACACCAACTAGAGGCCCCATGTACGAAATTTGTGCACCTGCAGGGTGGGGGGGTCCCTCAGCCCAGCCTGCACCCTCTCACAGTCCAGGAGCCCTCAGGGGATGTCCGACTGACTGCTTAGGCCCGCTCTGCCCGACGGGGAGTGGGCCTAAGCCATCAGTCAGAAATCCTTAGAGTTGCTGCAGAGGCAGGAGTGGCTCCCACTACTGCCACTGCGCTCACCAGCCATGAGCCCAGCTTCTGGCTGAACAGTGCTCCCCCTGTGGGAATGCACTGACCACCAGGGGGCAGCTCCTGCATTGAGCGTCTGCCCCCTGGTGGTCAGT